CCTCCATCCTTTCCCTATCTTCTGTATTCAAGTCACTCACTCCATTTGATAGCCTGTTCTGTGCACATCCTTTCATAGCATCTGTTGAATTGATCTCTTGCTCATGAAAGCTTATTCATCTCTGATTCAGTGAGTCTAAAAGGTGCTTCTCTATCCTGCCTTCTAAATGTATCTGGACCTGTTCAGGTTCACATCTGGGTGAGGAGATCCTTTTTCTTTATCACCAGTTTTGTCAATCCAGTTGTTCAAAAATTGCGGGCCAGGACTGTCCCCCTCCCATGTGACCAGGTAACATGCTACATTTTGTTGTTGGTGCGGTTTTTTTAAGTGGGTTTTTTTTAAATTTGTTTTCTAGTTTTGGATTCTTGGGGATTCACATTATCAAGAAATTATTCCATAATGAAGGAAACCTGGAAATGTACTTTTAAACATTATGAAACCTGTAATTCTCAATCATCATATGATTCCAGGAGTCAATAAGTAATTGGACTCATAAAGTCAGTTTGGTGGCAATGACAAACTGTCCAGTAAGCTGGAATCATTTATTCAGCATTACCACATGTTGCCTGCACTATCTTCATTGTCAGTAGCTAGAGTGATCAAGAATTTTCCATTGAAATGATTTTGATTAAAAATGGCTTTTTGCCAAAAGAGATATTTCTGCTTAAAATATCTGCTTTAATGGAAAAGTGGGTTTTTTAAAAAAAAATAAAAACAGGAATTTTGAAAAAAAATTCAATATTTTTTTCAATATTTTTTTAAAAATTTGAATTAGACTGTGGGGTAAAGGTAGGAAAAAGTTCCTACAAACCATATTGCCCTATGTGTGCGAGAGTTCACGTACAAATTCTGTGTTCCCAAATTTACCTTGTAGGTCAGACCCCATAAGACTGGCCTTCCAATGAAGACACATTTTGCTCCTAGTGCTAGTGCCTTTAATACATCACTTCCCGTCCGTATTCCACCATCTAAATAAACTTCCATTTTGTCTTGCACCATGTCCACAACTTCAACCAAAGCATCAATCTGCAAAGAAGTAAACATGTTCACATTGAGCTCAAACTGAATTAAGAAAGACAGAGGAAGAGAAGGAGGAATTACACAGATAGACAAACATGTATAACACTTTAGTAACTGAATATACTGTCAAACCAATATTTATCAGCATACCTCATAACACAAAATGTTAGAAGTGTAGCAAGCAAGTTCTACATCCTGGGCAGCAGTGGTGGCTGGAGTGGGAGAAATGGTGGTCAGGTTTGCTGCCATGGCTTCTACTATTCTTGTACCCCCTTAAAATCAGCACTCAAAACAAGTGTCCCTGTCAACACCCATAGTTAGCTACTGCAAAATGTGCCACTAATAAAGTACTAAATTAAAAAGAAGATCCCACTTGCACCTAGTTAAGCCGATTTTCAAGTGCAAATGAATGTACAGTCACATGGTGTGAAATATTTTCAATAAATTTCAAGATTTAAAAGAAAAATCATTTAATTTGCAAATAAAAAATAATAAAAGATTGAAACAGTGTGAAAAATTCAGTAATAAAAAATGGGGCAGCAGCTGATGTAAATCCAGGTATCCCAGGTAGCAGAGTAGCTGTGAGATCACAGAACCCAGGTTGGGGTTCAACAGCCACCCAGGAAGTATTCAGGCATTTAGGCTGTGCTGTGCTCCATGATGCCAAGAGCCAAGGTAACTCAGACACATCTACAGAAACTGCGGTTCCTGCCATGTAAACACACCCACCATCTGCAGGCACACATGCCAGGACACCACAGTTGCCTATATCAATTTCTGCACGCTGTCACCTATGCAGGCATATATATGTATACATAAGACACTTACAGTGGCAGGTCCTCCATCTAGTTGCCTTCCACCGTGATTTGACACAATAATGCCCTGAACTCCGTGTCTCACAGCCAAATCCGCATCTTCTTTGGTCAAAATTCCTTTGACAATGATGGGCAAGCGAGTCAAGCTCTTCAGCCAATAGATGTCATTCCAGTTTATAGAAGGATCTATGAAGTTAGGGGGCAGTCCATACTCAGTACATATGTTTTCCTGCAGCCATGGGACAGAGGGAAGGAACTTACGTTATGGACTGCAATAATGTAACACACCCTCACATTCTTTTCTTATCAGGGAGGATGTTAATAAGCTTTGATAACTATTCCATTAACTGGTTTTGTAAAGTGTATATCACTAGGAACAATACTTCTTGTCACAACCCAATTAAGTAGTGCCCATGTCACAAGCAAGTAATACCATTCAAAACAGTTTTAGTCTGCACTAGGTTAACTAAGGGTTAACTAACAAGATGATAGTAACAGTTTTTTTTACTGCACATGTCAAAAAGAGATTTATAACTGCGACACTAACTAGAAATAAAACTTAGCCTTCTGTGCTTTACATAAATCATTATAATTGGTCAAAGAAAACAGGGAGTAACCCTGTCATAACACCCTAGTGAAGACCGCTAGATAATTGGCGATTCTAATTAAATTTATGGCGTGGCGAAAACCAATTGGCTATTACACAAACAAAACCTTTTTTCACTTCCGTGAAGTCGGAGACCTCCGCGCACACACCTTGGAGACCTCTGAACGTATGCGTCAGAGTAACTGACAAATTAATCACTTGTCAGTTTCCCGCGTCTTGACCCAATCTCAGACGTAAATCAACAACCTGCCGGTCCGACCTTTTCTGCCCGACCACCGAATTCTTATGCAGACCGACCTACGAACCCTAAGCTATAACTAACCAAATATCTCTGACCTCCGTTATTCACCACCTTGACGGCGTGAGTAAATAGTCTTGCTTTGCAACCAATAAACGTCTGCCTAATTAATTCCACTCCATGCGTCACAAATACCCGCCTGCCGGCTTCTAAGGTCCCGACTCCTTGCTGCAGTGCACGGCAGCGACACTTCTGACAGGGAGTAGTTCTGGAAATAAGAATCTCTGGAAATCAGGTTGAGGTTTCACAGCCATAGTGTTGGCAGGAGGGGCTGCCAGGATATGACAGAGCTAAAGAGGGCGTGTCCTTTGTAGAGCAGGTTTTCAAAGCCATCATTTTTTCTCTGTACAAGGCTGCTTGTCCTTGCTAGACTGGATTATGGACTATCCTGGTCAAGGGAGGTCAAGCAAATGCAACCTTACTATTTGTTACATTTAAGTACAAAAGGTGATCGTAATAGAGACCAAAGAGGGAAGGGAAGGCTGCTACACACATCCTGGAATCAACTCTGGTTTGTTTAGTCTTCTTTACTTACAATGGACCGTCACCTCTGCCTTTCAGCCCAAACAGGTGTTTTTCTACCTGGATGCAAGGTTAAAGTGCCTTGACACATCATGTAACATTGCTAGGGCTGCAAATGTGCTACAAATGGGAAGTGGGGGATATTTGCTGAACTATTATCGTTCATATTCAGAGTAGGATTTTAAAACAAAGCAAAAAAAGCTTTCCAGAAGACCAGTGGAAGGGAAATATCTGACCCAGGAACTGAGCCAAATTTGCAAAGGCATTTCAGCACCAAACCCCCATTACTATCAATGAGAGATGCCAAAACATTTTTATGAATTTGACCCTATCTTCCTGCCAATTTTCAGTCTTCTCCTACAAGATAGTTGTTAGAAGAATGATTTAAAAGACAGCACAATTCTCATGCTATTCAGCTGTGAATGAGAAAACCCCCAGTGGAACATGGCCGTTTTGTGATGGTGAGGCCAGAAGTCTGAGCAGCCCAAGCACTACTGGAGCAAGCACAGAGCTGGAGGGTGGCGCACACTGGCTGGTACATACAGAGGCCTTTAGGCTTATTCATGCACAAAAAATACATTCCTTTAATTAAGTTTGTATGGTACCTTTTTGCCTGTATAATGGCAACTCTGCCAGGGCTTTGTTGGCATAAATGTTTCAGTAAAAATCTCATAGCCTGTCAGTGAAACAAATGTAACTATGATATTTCTGAGTTTAGGCCATTCCTAAGCTTGATAAACAGTGAGAGTTAACCCAAAAAGTTAGGTGGTTAGCTGTATTAATATGAAGTCAAGCACAAAGTAGGGCATCTTAGAGACTAATTGGTTCAGAGAGGCATGCACTTTCATACACTATGCATTTGAGGAAGTTTGCTGTTGCCAACAAAAACTCATGGTCTCTGAACCAGTCCCTGAACCAGTTAGTCTCTAAGGTGTCATCCTGTTCTACCTTCTGCCCCAGAAGGTAGCAACCACTGCCCTAGCTATGTGGTTATATTCTGTAATCTAGGGGTATCTACATATGTAACCTCTCTTTCTCACATACACATAATATATTTCTATCTCTGTTAAAAGTGATCAGGTAACTTTACAGACTTCAAAGTTTCCTTCAAAGTTCTTCACTTTCATGTGCGGAGGGAGCTGGAAGTTGTTGTGGATGTCAGCTCGTCTCTTGCCAGTGTAGGGCAGATCAGCAGTAAGCACTAGGCCTTGGAAACCCAGGGCCTCCACCCGTTGTACCAGCTGTTCTGTGAGTGCCCTGTTGCGGTGGATGTAGAGCTGGAACCAACGGAAGCCCCTGGGTGCAGCCGCAGCGATCTCCTCCACAGCGCAGGTGGAATACGTGCTGGTTATATAGCAGGTGTTCATGGCTGCAGCCGCTATAAAAGATGTTTACAAAACTCAGCATGATGTACCATGGGTCTGTACACAGGTGTAATTATAAAACACCAGCTAATGTCTCAGCATCTTTCATACTCCTATAAAGGTATGTATGGATTGGTATTTTTAGTATAAGACACTAAGGTATTCTACCATCTGGTTAATATGAATCAAACACTATAAATGTCAAAATTCAACCATAAGAAGTGTCATGCTTGGTCAGACCAACAGTCCATCTAGCCCAGTTACTTGTCTCTAACAGTGGATGCTTTAGAGGAAGAGTAAATGAACAGGGTATATCTAGAGTGATTTGTCCTCTTTCATACCTCCCTGGCATCTACCATTATTGGTTCAGAGGTGACAGAGGATAGATCCTTGACTGCTGTATTTAATATCTGTTAATAGATCTATCATCCATGAATTTGTCTAGTCCATTTTTTAACTTGGCTGTAGTATCTACCCTTACAGACTCCTGTGGTGATAAGTTCCACAAATGAACTATGCACTTCCTCTTGTTAGTTTTAAACCTGTTTCCTGATAATTTGAGCAGGTCCCACTTAGTTCTAATAATCTAGGACTTGATGAATAACAGTTCTGTAATGAGTCATTTTGAGGAGGAGGAGTCAGTCCTGCTAACAAAGCCCAGCTGTGGGACATTTGGGTAAGGAGGGTCCCACTGAGAGCATTAAAAGCTTTCAGAAGAGTAAGCAAAAAGAAGAAGAAGCAAGCTGTGAAAATAATAGCTTGATGCACGGAGGAACCAGGCTGCTGTGCTGGTGCCAGAGCAAAAGCATTCCACTCCTAGGGCACATCCACACATGCAGGCACATGCACTTGTAGCAGCTCAAATAGGAGCAGCACAAATTTGAGCCAGGGATTTTTGCCTCAGGGCATGTGCCCGGATATGCACTTTGGCATGGGGCAAGTTGTGCCAGTTGAGGCAAAATAACCCTGCCGAGCTCCTCCCAGATCTGCAGCCAGGGGGGGAGAGAGGCTGGGGACAGCACCTGTGCTGGCCCCAGCAGTATAAAAAACCTGTGCTGCACCCCTGCCAGACCCGGCTGGGGTGCCCCCACTCTGCCATCTGGGCAGCTATCGCTCAGAAGATGTGCTCCTTGCAGTGGCCCACTTTGAACTGTCAAAGCGTGTCCTTTTGGCCCCAAATGGCCAAGAGGTCAGCCATCTTGTCTGCCCTTCAGGCTCCTCTGCACGGGTCTCACCACTTGTCTCACCTGCAGAGATTCTGGTGTTCCTTGTTTATGAATTGCAAATTCTGTGATAAGAAACCCAAATTCTCTCATTAAAATACCCCAAATAGTATCCTTCCGCTATTAAAATGAAACACCACTATATAGAGAGAGGGCAATGTTTTATTAATATATTTGGGCAATGTTGTTCAATGTTTTATTGATATATTTACAAATATAAAGCAATTTGGGGGGATTGGGGGAGTTTGTGGGTGGCTGTAGGATTTGTGAGGGTGAGGTTTGTGGGGTATGGGGCTTGTGTGGGGGTTTGTGACTGGGTATGTGGGTGAGGGGTTTGTGGGCGTGGCTTGGGGTGTGGGTGTTGTGGGTAGATTGTGGAGGGACTGTGGGTGTGTGGGGGCTGTGTGGGTAGCGATGCTCAGGAGGGGTGGGTCCCCTGTCCCCCCATAGGGTGCAGCCCCCCCTGCACAGCACACAGACCCCCCACCCCACAGGGCCCACAGCTTCCTCCCACAGGGTCACAGCTCCCCCCACAGGACCCATACAACCTCTTTCCATAGCTGTTTAGTCTTCTTTACTTACAATGGACCGTCACCTCTGCCTTTCAGCCCAAACAGGTGTTTTTCTACCTGGATGCAAGGTTAAAGTGCCTTGACACATCATGTAACATTGCTAGGGCTGCAAATGTGCTACAAATGGGAAGTGGGGGATATTTGCTGAACTATTATCGTTCATATTCAGAGTAGGATTTTAAAACAAAGCAAAAAAAGCTTTCCAGAAGACCAGTGGAAGGGAAATATCTGACCCAGGAACTGAGCCAAATTTGCAAAGGCATTTCAGCACCAAACCCCCATTACTATCAATGAGAGATGCCAAAACATTTTTATGAATTTGACCCTATCTTCCTGCCAATTTTCAGTCTTCTCCTACAAGATAGTTGTTAGAAGAATGATTTAAAAGACAGCACAATTCTCATGCTATTCAGCTGTGAATGAGAAAACCCCCAGTGGAACATGGCCGTTTTGTGATGGTGAGGCCAGAAGTCTGAGCAGCCCAAGCACTACTGGAGCAAGCACAGAGCTGGAGGGTGGCGCACACTGGCTGGTACATACAGAGGCCTTTAGGCTTATTCATGCACAAAAAATACATTCCTTTAATTAAGTTTGTATGGTACCTTTTTGCCTGTATAATGGCAACTCTGCCAGGGCTTTGTTGGCATAAATGTTTCAGTAAAAATCTCATAGCCTGTCAGTGAAACAAATGTAACTATGATATTTCTGAGTTTAGGCCATTCCTAAGCTTGATAAACAGTGAGAGTTAACCCAAAAAGTTAGGTGGTTAGCTGTATTAATATGAAGTCAAGCACAAAGTAGGGCATCTTAGAGACTAATTGGTTCAGAGAGGCATGCACTTTCATACACTATGCATTTGAGGAAGTTTGCTGTTGCCAACAAAAACTCATGGTCTCTGAACCAGTCCCTGAACCAGTTAGTCTCTAAGGTGTCATCCTGTTCTACCTTCTGCCCCAGAAGGTAGCAACCACTGCCCTAGCTATGTGGTTATATTCTGTAATCTAGGGGTATCTACATATGTAACCTCTCTTTCTCACATACACATAATATATTTCTATCTCTGTTAAAAGTGATCAGGTAACTTTACAGACTTCAAAGTTTCCTTCAAAGTTCTTCACTTTCATGTGCGGAGGGAGCTGGAAGTTGTTGTGGATGTCAGCTCGTCTCTTGCCAGTGTAGGGCAGATCAGCAGTAAGCACTAGGCCTTGGAAACCCAGGGCCTCCACCCGTTGTACCAGCTGTTCTGTGAGTGCCCTGTTGCGGTGGATGTAGAGCTGGAACCAACGGAAGCCCCTGGGTGCAGCCGCAGCGATCTCCTCCACAGCGCAGGTGGAATACGTGCTGGTTATATAGCAGGTGTTCATGGCTGCAGCCGCTATAAAAGATGTTTACAAAACTCAGCATGATGTACCATGGGTCTGTACACAGGTGTAATTATAAAACACCAGCTAATGTCTCAGCATCTTTCATACTCCTATAAAGGTATGTATGGATTGGTATTTTTAGTATAAGACACTAAGGTATTCTACCATCTGGTTAATATGAATCAAACACTATAAATGTCAAAATTCAACCATAAGAAGTGTCATGCTTGGTCAGACCAACAGTCCATCTAGCCCAGTTACTTGTCTCTAACAGTGGATGCTTTAGAGGAAGAGTAAATGAACAGGGTATATCTAGAGTGATTTGTCCTCTTTCATACCTCCCTGGCATCTACCATTATTGGTTCAGAGGTGACAGAGGATAGATCCTTGACTGCTGTATTTAATATCTGTTAATAGATCTATCATCCATGAATTTGTCTAGTCCATTTTTTAACTTGGCTGTAGTATCTACCCTTACAGACTCCTGTGGTGATAAGTTCCACAAATGAACTATGCACTTCCTCTTGTTAGTTTTAAACCTGTTTCCTGATAATTTGAGCAGGTCCCACTTAGTTCTAATAATCTAGGACTTGATGAATAACAGTTCTGTAATGAGTCATTTTGAGGAGGAGGAGTCAGTCCTGCTAACAAAGCCCAGCTGTGGGACATTTGGGTAAGGAGGGTCCCACTGAGAGCATTAAAAGCTTTCAGAAGAGTAAGCAAAAAGAAGAAGAAGCAAGCTGTGAAAATAATAGCTTGATGCACGGAGGAACCAGGCTGCTGTGCTGGTGCCAGAGCAAAAGCATTCCACTCCTAGGGCACATCCACACATGCAGGCACATGCACTTGTAGCAGCTCAAATAGGAGCAGCACAAATTTGAGCCAGGGATTTTTGCCTCAGGGCATGTGCCCGGATATGCACTTTGGCATGGGGCAAGTTGTGCCAGTTGAGGCAAAATAACCCTGCCGAGCTCCTCCCAGATCTGCAGCCAGGGGGGGAGAGAGGCTGGGGACAGCACCTGTGCTGGCCCCAGCAGTATAAAAAACCTGTGCTGCACCCCTGCCAGACCCGGCTGGGGTGCCCCCACTCTGCCATCTGGGCAGCTATCGCTCAGAAGATGTGCTCCTTGCAGTGGCCCACTTTGAACTGTCAAAGCGTGTCCTTTTGGCCCCAAATGGCCAAGAGGTCAGCCATCTTGTCTGCCCTTCAGGCTCCTCTGCACGGGTCTCACCACTTGTCTCACCTGCAGAGATTCTGGTGTTCCTTGTTTATGAATTGCAAATTCTGTGATAAGAAACCCAAATTCTCTCATTAAAATACCCCAAATAGTATCCTTCCGCTATTAAAATGAAACACCACTATATAGAGAGAGGGCAATGTTTTATTAATATATTTGGGCAATGTTGTTCAATGTTTTATTGATATATTTACAAATATAAAGCAATTTGGGGGGATTGGGGGAGTTTGTGGGTGGCTGTAGGATTTGTGAGGGTGAGGTTTGTGGGGTATGGGGCTTGTGTGGGGGTTTGTGACTGGGTATGTGGGTGAGGGGTTTGTGGGCGTGGCTTGGGGGGGGGGTGGTGTGGGGAGATTGTGGGGGGGGCGTGGCTTGGGGTGTGGGTGTTGTGGGTAGATTGTGGAGGGACTGTGGGTGTGTGGGGGCTGTGTGGGTAGCGATGCTCAGGAGGGGTGGGTCCCCTGTCCCCCCATAGGGTGCAGCCCCCCCTGCACAGCACACAGACCCCCCACCCCACAGGGCCCACAGCTTCCTCCCACAGGGTCACAGCTCCCCCCACAGGACACATAAAACCTCTTTCCATAGCACACGTGCCCCCACAGGGCCCACATGCCCCTCCCACAGGGCCTCATGCACCCCCTGCTGGGTCTCAGCCTCCCCACAGGGCCCACAGCTCATTCTTGCAGCAGCAGTGGCCATGGGGTGCTCAGGGCGCGCTGCAGCCAGAGCCCCCAGCAGTGTGGTGCAGCCTCGATCACCTTAGAGCAGGAGAGGAGTGAGAAAGAAGGGAGCTGGTAAAAGGAAAACCAGGGAGAGGGGCAGGTGGAGAGATTTAAAGAGGACAGGGTAGCAATTCGCAACCCTCAAGATGGGGGAGGGGGACTCTCTCCCAGTCCCCTGTCTGTACCTGGGGAACCAAGTGCAGCCTTTACTGCCACAGCACTTCCTTTGGGGATTCACATACCAGGTTCCAGAGCCACCTGGTTCTATAGCTTCCCTCACTACCCCTGGGTGCATGTGAGAAGCAGTGGGATAAGCCAGGCTGAAAATGTCAGCTTTGTGTCTGTGCACCCACAGCAAACCACTATGCTCAGAGCAGCCAGCACAGGGGCTGTGGAAGGGTGGAGCATGCAGCTTGCTCCTTCTCTGGCACCCATGGTCACCAGAGACTTAAACCTGGCTTTTCACAATGGATGAAGAGTATCTTAATGGACTATGTTGAACATTAACTCAGATGTGGAAATAACTGTTAGTGAAATGTTGGACACATTGTCAAGATGCTCAAGAAAGTTACATTTTGTTTTATAGATCTGAATAACAGATGTACATTTAACATTAATGACTTATTATTTTCCTAGTTAGTTGTGTTTTTGTACTTAATATATAATATAGAAAATCAGTTCACATTCCAATAGAGTTATATTTGTTTTTGCTTTCATCTGAAATGGAATAGTATAGCTATAGGTGCATAGTATATTAGTACAGCTTCTAGTTTCTTTTAATTGGAGGAAAAAGTATTGTGTTAGATGCAATGATGCAAACTATTATCAGCCCCCTTTTCAAAATCCTAGCTCTGCCCATGATCCAGTCTCACAGCATTTGGAAATTGACTTTCAAAGATGGCACACTGGTCTTCATGTTCACTGCAAAGGCCAGACAGGGTAAGTGTTTCCACACCCTACCCCTCCTCTAGATCATACACACAGCTGAGTATCAAATTGGTCCCTGGAACAAGTCGCAGCAGCTCAGTTGCAAGTCCCCAAAAGGCTATTCTGGTTGCCAGTAATAACTGAAACACTGTGGCCAATTCTGGCTTCCAAGCTGCTTGTGCCACCAGAACACTCAGGAATGGGCTCAGAGGGTGAGAAAAGAATTTGCCCCATAAACATTTCCATGCATAAAATACCATGACAGTGGATTGAGGTTTCCCTTAGGTTTTTAATTCATCTTCCTTTGGTTTATAGTAATGAATTTGTGGCCTACCTCTGGCTGTGCTTTTCTCTCCATCTGGCCAAGCCAGCTGATGGAAGCCGGTGGGAGCAATCCCTACAGGGAAGCTGATTTCAGTCCCTAGAAGTGTTGTCTTTGTGTCTATAACAGACATATCACGTAGCATGCGTGGCCGAAAACGGATTCTGTCAGAAAGCAAAGATGATATACCTGTCAATAGGGTTGCAGCCCCCTGGCTTTACTGGTTCTAATGTCACCTGGAAGAAGGTTGTGATACAGTCATTTGACCCAAGAAGAATAATCTAGGGGCAGTGGTCCTTGGAGAACTCCATATGAGAACTTCATCCCTCCCTAGCAGCTTGTCTTCACTGCCCAGTCCAACCATCCTTACAGCCTCTACCACCTACCTCCAAGCCTCACCCCACTTGGTCTTGTACCACCCATCATCTCTCCCCTAAATCCCACTTAGATGCCCCACTCCTGCTACTTGCTGTTCCACCCTACCTTTCTGCCCCCATATAACCCAGCCTAAAGCTACTCTGTTCCCCCTTACCAGCCTGCAATCTGCCCACTGCTATTACCCATGCACTCTGTCCCCAAATTCCAGAATGCTCACACTCATGCTCCATGTTGTCCAGCTCATACTCCCAATCACCCCACACCTTATTACATCTACTCACACCACATGATACTCATACCACATGGCATGGTGTTTGTTTCACTCCCATGCTGTGCACTATTCCTTTGTGTCACTTCTAGCCTACACTACCTGCCCTCACCTGCTGGGTGCCATCTCAGTGATGGGTACAATCAGTTATACGGAAAGGTGCATTTGCTTTGGGTCATGCTAGAGAGGACAGGTGCTGCTAGGTACTGGAAAAGTATAACGTTTTGGCCCAAAGAAGAAGCCTGCCTTATACCTTTTATATGCCAAGATATTGTCTTCTCGGGTGCAACACTCATCTGCTCCAGCTGCAAAAAAATCCCAAGTGGTCTTGGGTAGGTACTGCTTAGCATAATCTTCAAAGTCCGACAGGCATACCATTGGCATTTCAGAGGAAAGCTACAGGGACTTAAAGGAGAAGGAAAATCCATCAAGCACAAAACAGAAACCATATTCCTGAACTCTCTCAGCATTCCTTTCTCTATCCACTTCAGTTTAATTTAATGTGAGGCTTGGATCAACAGCACTGTACTCCAGGGTTCCCTCTAAGCTGTGTGGTGTGTGTGGCCATGCAGGCACACCTGGCAGCACAGCTTGAGCATATCTGCGTGGCTGTGCATGCCACACAGCTTAGAGGGAATGCTGCTGTACTATTTGTCTCCAAAGGAGTTACAGCTCAATCTTATCCACAGAGACTGATCAAGGAAAGTTGCCTGCCCTGGAAAGTTGACTGCTATCCTCTATGATGTGAATCCAAGGGTCCCAACCCTGTTGCTGTTCCATCTGGCAGTCAGCACAAGCTGACATAATGAAATTTCCAATTTTCCTATTTCCATTTTTTTAAATAATAGGAAATTACATAAAATCTCCACGCTTAAATGTTAATGTCATGCAATCAAAAGTCAGAAAATGCCAGAATTGAGTTTTCCTATTAAATTAAAATGCACAGATAACTCTCAATCTGGCATTCTTGATTTGTTACCTTAATGTTCTTTAATGTATTTTTTCATGTCATCATACACATGTAAAAGGAAACATTTCACAGGCAACTTGAGCTACTTTCTTTGACGTTGGTCACAGCATCAAGTCCAGAGGGCTTAATTCTGTCTTCAGGTCTATCTGAATACAGCCCCTTCTCCCAGCTCTAATTAAAGATTAAAGGACTGCAAAAGAAGGAAGCATTTGGTATGTGATCTAATTATATGAATAGAATTAGAATATTTTCTAACCTTACCTACTGCTTTACCAGGCTGAGATTATTCAGTGTTAATGATTATTTCACATGACCTCAGGCCATTGATCTTCTGCCCTAGGGCTACAGACAACCTACTGATGTGGCCAGGAGTCAGAATGCAGCCTATGTTTTATAATCTCTCCACTTATGCCTTTTTTCTGCGTCAGTAACATCTGGCTAAAAGGAGCTTTCTAGGTTATGAGCTGCACTCCTCTGTTATCATAGGTAACCTTCTCACACAATCCTATTCATGAACTGATCAAACTCAATCAAACACTAAGCTAGGTTTGTCTGCCCCTATTACTGCACTGGAAGGCTGCTTCAGAACTTCACTGTTCTTTTGGTTTTCTCCAAGGACTCAGCCATCTGGAAGAACATTAAATAACTAAGTATGGGCCTATCCAGAGATAACATAAACACAGGGATATGTTACACATTACTACCAGAAGATGGCATTAGTTATTATAGCTAAAGGGAGAGAGTGAAGATGTGGCAGGAAAAGGACCCAACAAGAGCCCGAACAATGGCTTAAAAAACCCTATCCCTTTCTCCTACATGCTGCTGCTCATTCATTTCCCCATATGCCCCTCTACTCCTTCACCAAATGATACTCATTGATATGTACCACATTTGAATTTGGCTGAGAAAGTCCTGAAAGGGGCATGTACACCCCCTGGACTTGGACACCCTGTAGTCCAGAAGAAATGCATTGAATAGCTAGGTACAGTTTCTGGATATTCAGGTTCTTTGTTGAGAGCAAAGGAAGCTCATATATTTTCCAGGAATATTTATTTTAGTTTTGTAAAAGTTACCAGCCATTTGGTCTTAGCTCTCTGGGAACCTTGTAGCAAGTGAATGTACTTGGGAGGCAAATGTAAACAAAGAAAAGGAAAAAATCATAAAGCATTGGCACAGACCAAATTTTGATTGTTTAGTTTCAAGGATTCACACTGAATACTGGTTCTAACAATTATCCTAATCCAGCCAGGAAAGAGAAATAATACTGTACGCCACATGTGCCAAGTCAAAGTAGCAAAGCTGCTGAATGTTAAGTACATGCAGTCACAGGCTTTTGAGCAACCACAGGACCAAGAGTTATGCCCAGAAATGATTTACCAAATAATGATTATATGCTTGAAAGAAGTTGTCTGCTCACATGCAGTACACAAAGCACAAAAAGAGGCAAAATATGTTTAATAAAATGTCTATTAGTAATGATTTGGTTAGGCCTAGTTAAAACAGAGATTTTTTAGTTCAGATGAAAACACGACTTCTTGAAACTAGGAACAAATGCCATGCATACAATCTGTCAGGTATCCAGGTTGTAGCTGCATTGGTCTAGAGGAAAACGGAATGAGAACTCTTGGTAGAGGGATGCAATCTAATTTTTCTGAAAATGCTCAGGGCAGAATATTTCCATTGTTCCTTTTATATCAATGTAGTAGTAGGATGGGCATGTGTAATTGGGACCAGCATCTCATATCACCATGGGGTGGTCACTGGAGGGCAGATGCAGTCACCTGATGGCTGCATGTGATCCAGACACAGGAAAACACAAATGATGTACACAAAAGCACTCAACCCAGTTTCCAAAAGGGGATAGATAGATAAAGATAGTGCAGCAGTATAAATGTCCTGAACCTTATCTATACAACTGCATTGTTGATCCTGCAAGAACTACATCACTAAATATCAAGGTTTCTCATTTTTCTAGTGTGAACAAGGCCAAAGTCATCAAGCATAAATAACAAACCAAATTATTTCTTAGCAGAAGAAACAGGAAGCATGTATCATCCAGGCACAGACCTCACTCTTCTCTCACACACTGGCAAAACCAACTTACCTTGGGATCCAAGAATTAACAGCACCAGAAAAGATTGCAAAGTGGCTTGCAAACAGGATACAACAGAACTGCCACAGTTTTCTGGAGTGAATAAGTAATGCAGGGGATGAAAGTTCAGCCCTCCAGTAATCTTTGTACTGTTTGTACAAATTTGTTTTGCTGGTGGATCAGCAAAATGTCCTTCTGAAGAATGCAAACTGACTTAGCAAGCACTTCTGAGAATCACTGGCTGCATTTACACAAGATGCCTTAATGCACAGTAACCTTAGTTTACTGCGCAGTAAGTGCATGCATCTATACATGAACATACTCACTGGACAGTAAAATCCCTTAATCGTGCATAAATTTGCTACCTGCAAATCTAGATATCAAATTTCTGTGGAATTAGTTACTGAGCTGTAATGAATGTGTAGACTTGCTCCTGGGTCGGCCCTGCCACTAGGGGGCCAAGGTGCTGTGCCTGAAGGTGCTGTGGGCCATTGCCTCTGCTATGCAGCTGACAGTCCCATGCTGTGCCCCTGTGCTAGGCGTTGCAGGAAGCTGCCCAGGCCCGGAAGTACTGGGACAGCCGTGTGGGGACTCAGAGCCTGGTGTGGGATCCCAGATAGCATCCTCCTTGACCAGGCCCATGCCCACACCCGTGCCCATGCCTGTACCCTCCACTTGGGGCCCCAACTGGTCCAAGGAGGAGACTGGCAACATTGTTGTGCTGTGGGGCAAGATGGAGATGCAGCGCCAGTTTGAGTGGGGCAGGCACTATAATGCCCATATCTATGAGGCACTGTCAGGCTGGATACAGGAGTGTGGGCACAACTGGGCACGACAGCAATGCTGCATAAAGGTCAAGGCTTTGTGGGCACAGTGGGTCACCATGACTGTCTGGTAGTGACCGTAAGTCCATGCTCTTCATGCAGCAACTAGATGCCATCCTTGCGTCTCAGGACCCAAGATCCAGGACCCTGGTGTGCTGTCTACAGCAATATAGGCAGCCTGCCCAAGCCGCTGTCCCAGCCTGGCACCTCCAGTGATGTCACCAGAAGAGGGCCCCTTGGGTGTCCAGTGGCCCATTTTGCTAAGCTCCCTAGCTGCAGTCTCCACAAGCAGGTCAGGGAGCCCTGGCCAATGCCTGCCTTGCCAGCTCTGCAGCCCCAGGCCCAGCCACTAGGCGTGGCCAGACATGACACCACCAGCAGTGCCAGCTCCTCCCTGGGGGCGGGCCAAGCCGGGCACCAGCACACCATGCCCCACCATCTCAGGACACCAGTTGGAACTGCATGCTGTCACCGACATACAGGAATGAGAAGACCCACCAGCCACACCAGCCCTGTCCATGTGGTAAGGTCCGCATTGTGGGGAGGGCCCTCCATACCTCCACCTCTGCCCCTACCCTGCCCTGCCCCCATTTCCTGCCTGACCTGCCCACACTCCCCTGGCCCTGTATTCCCCCCACCCCCACAGCATGCATTGAACCTTATTGAGCAGCTTGTGCCCCCGCAGCTAGGCTGACAGCTAGGTGGGCATGAGCCCCTCACACTGAGGAATGCACTGATGCCAGGAGTGATGGCTTCCTCAGCTGCAGGGGACAGATGTGTACTGCAGCCACAGGTAGTCCTTAAGGTGGCAGCAGAGGTTGCAGGCAGCCAGAGCTTGCCCCCCATGCCATCATAGCTCAGGGTTCCATACCAGGTGTACAGATGCACCGAGGGCACCATGGCCATCAGCAGCAGAAGGGCATACTGGGTTGGTCAGTCTACACAAACAGCTCCTTGCACACTGCCTGGGACACGTGCAGCAGGGGGATGTTTGGGGCTCAGTACTAGTGCGCTGGGGGGCAGGTCCCGGGGCACCTCCCCAGAGAGGCCCACTGCGGGGAGGGCAGGGGTGCAGGCAGTTCCTCATTCCAGTTGTCTGGGAGCCCCACTCCCCCTGAGCCCAGGTGCCATGGGTGGGTGGCAGTACAAGACAGCAGCTGGCTTGCAGGAGGAGTGGAGGAGTAGGGTCTGGAGCCACTGCAGCAGATGCTGCCAGAAGCCTGGCCTGGGACTGGAGCAGGCTGCCTGAGGCCAGCACCTAGGGACCTGCTAGCCACAGGGGAGCAAGTGGGGACAGGGGCCTTGGCTGGCAGCCTCCTGGGCCTGCCCAGCCAACTTACAATGGTACCTGGGCACCCATGCAAACCTGACCCGATTTCAGGCCAGGCAGCACACAGCCCCTGGTACAGAGCATCTTATACGAGAAATATTGCAAACTCTCTCAAACGGCTTCTATCTCATGACTCATGACTCTGCAGGTCCTGCAACTGCATGTGGGGGAAAGGCTGTCCCTGGCAGCTGGGATGCGGCCTCAGGGTCACATCACCATTAGCAGGAGCCCTGAAGATGCTCTGGCTCTACCAGGGGCTGATGTAGGACTGACCCATCCTCCTACAGCAGCTGTTGTGGCATCAGAAGACTGGCTGGAGGACTTACAGGCCCAGCCAATAGAGGACAGTGCCTGTGAGGACATGTGGGATGGGACAGACTGGGAGTTCTGGGCACAGCTCCTGGCCCTAGAGCACAAGAGGCTGGACCTCCTGCAGGAGCAGAATGCCATCCTGGCCCAGGCAGTGCAGGCCACAGACAATAACTGCTGGGTGCTGGACACTGTTCTGGCCCTGGTGGTTGCACTTATGTCACCTGCTGCCTGGCTCCTGACCTTAGCCCCACCTGCCCCCTTGCAGCCACCTGCCACCCAGCAGCAGGCCCTCATCTGGGCCTGAAGAGGTCCAGCACTATCTTTAGCAGCCAGGAACCCCTGCCTTGGGCCCCCTGGTTCTGGTGCCACCTGGGCCCAGACCCATTACTTGCCCCAGCTGCACCTGGGCATGGAGCTAGAGCTGCCTGCAGTGCAACCAGGACTGCATACTGGCCCTGCAGGCCCTGACCAGCTGCTGTGGGGAGCCACCTATGCCAGGAGACCAGCAGCTGCAGTCACCCCAGGGCAAACCCCTCACCTGCCACACTTGCCACAGTGTCCACACCCACGGGGGAACATTCAGAGACCAGGGTGCTGAACATCTGCCCCCTGGCTCTGCCCCTAGGTGTCCCCACCCTTTGTGGGATGGCCCACAAAGGACACTATAAATAGTTTTCATGGGGAAGAAGGTTTTTTATTGGTGGTGGGTGGGCTTGGTGGTAGAGGACTCTGTTGAGGGGAAGGGGGGAGGAGGGCTGTTTGTTGGAAAGGGAGGGAGGGAGAGAGGGAGGAGGGGGACTCTGTTTGATGTGAGGGGAATAAGAACTTGTTCTGAGATGTGTCTGCAGTGAGCATGGTGCTAGGATTGGGCAGGGGTGGTGGCCGTGGGTGATGATACAGGTGGGCTAGAGCAGGGAGTGTTGGAGGAGATGGTTGGCCAGGGTCTCTCACATCCAGAGACCTGGCTGTCACTGGCAGGTGTGCAGCTCGCCCTAGCTCGGGGCGGGGGGGGCACTGTTGCTGCTGCCGCAGGTGGTGCTCCCACTGCTGTGCCTCCTCTTCCTGCCATGCCTCCTTTGCCTAGGCCTTGTGGAACAGCTCCCCCTGGGCCTCAGACGTTATGTAGCATGTAGGCTGCAATGATGACCAGGGGGGTTTCTCAGCAAACTTGAGGCAGGTGGTGAAGGAGCCCCAGCATCCCTTGAGACAGCCAAAGGCACACTCCACCAGGGCATGGGTCTGAGCCAAGCAGCAGTTAAAGTGGCCATGGTGAGGGTCCAGGTGGCTGGTGTAGGGCTGCATGAGCCAAACCAAGAACAGGTAGGCAGGGTCCTTGATGAGGAAGGGTGTGATGGCCGTGGTGCCCAGCTGCAGGTCTGGCATCCCTGGCATGAATCAGCTGCTTTCTATGAGACCCAGACGCCCGTTCTGAAACACGTGGGTGTCATGGGTGCTGCCTGCCCAACCTGCATTTGCATGGATGAAGGCCCTGTAGTGGTCCACGATGACCTGGAGCACCATGGAGTGAAAGCCCCCCCAGCTGTAATAGGGGCATTTTCTGTTGGGTGGGCAGGTGATGGGGATGTGGGTCCCATCCAGGGCCCTAATGTTTTGGGAGAAGCCAAGGGCATGGAATCCCACCACCACCACCTGGGGGTCATGCACAGTGAGCTCTGTGTCCCCCAGCATGTCCTGGAGGGTTTCCCCATGGCCTTGCCCATACCAAATAGGTGGCTGATGTCCTGCAGGCTGGGAGGTATAGCCATCTTGAGAAGGGCAAAAGCCAGCTGGGTGTCTGCAGGGAGGGGTGGCTGCATGTCAGTGTCCTGCTGCTCCAGGTGGGAACAGAGCTGCTCCCCAAGGTCCCAGAAGGTGTCCCAGGTCATGCAGAAGGCCTCCAGCCACTGCTCATCATCCCAGGCTTGCAGTATGATGTGCCACCAGCAGTCTTGGCTGGCCTGGTGGGCCCAGAGGCAGCAGGGCTGGAGGCCCAGGAGGGTGATGGTGGCCCCAGTGATGGCACCCAGAAGCCCCTCATTGGTGTCCCTGCTGGTGGCCACTGAATGTAGTCATTTATAAGTAGGAACCTAGTGAAATCATAATTTCATGGATTTTGGAGAAAAGGCACAATCTGAAATTGCCTGTGAAAGCAGGCAATGCCTGCAAAATCCATGAAAAAAAGAAGGAAAACTTACTGAAAATAGAGGGAGCCAGAAGTCCTCATGATGCTGCTGCCCAGCTGCACAGCCTGCTGTGGGGCAGGGGGGAAGGGGGAACTGCTGGCCCAAGATGACTGCCACCCACTGCGGATTGGTTGAAAGGGCTGCCTGTCATATGGTCCTGTGATCAGCCTGGAAAATTGGCTGGCTGCATCCTCAAGATGGGTAAACTGCTATTTATGAGGCCAGACTATAGGCATCAGTAAGCACAGTTTGTAACAAAGTTTATTGCTTCTGTGCGCCCCATTTACATGTGCACCCAGGACCACAGCACATTTGAACTGGGTTGGAGCAGCTCCAGCTGGAAGGGGAGCAGGGGATCAGCCTGCCAGCCTGGGACTGCTACAACCTGGCTCAATGTGCTGTGGAGGGGCTGTCTGGGGCACAAGGGTCTTCTAGTGTGGGGCTAAACAGTAGGCAGCTCCTGCACTGAAGCACTCTAGTGCCCCAGCC